AAGTGGAATAGGATTTCGGCCACCATGCACGACGCAGAAGCCTGTGCTTGTAGCGCTACCAATCGTCACTCCACCAGTCACTGAACAGCCGAGAGCTCGGTGCGCATGCTAGCACACCGACTCCCGCGACGTGCATTGTTTGCGCGTTGTGGGTGCGGTTGGAAGAGGAGGAGGGGAGGCCAAGTGATGACTTGGTCGAGAGAAATGAAAACCCTCACTTCGAAGTTGGCGTCGGTTGGTGCATCCCAACTGCCTGGCTGGGGTCCTAAGGACGGTGAACACGTTTGGTTGGACACTCTTGCTGATATGGCGTTTGTGTTGTGAGTTCCTTTGTCCATCCCCCTCCTGTTTAGCATCCCCTCCAATTACGATCTTACTTGTTAGGCATAATACGACTCTCTTTTACGGCAGCCAGCTGTTAGCTCTGCGGAACGATGTCCATCCGTTACTGGGGACTCAGCGGGCGTGCTACTGTTTGTTTTTCTTTTCTTGTCCTTTGTATTGCGGCACAATAGCTGAGGTGTTTTCCACCTCCAGCTAACGTGTAATGATGATGATGATGATGATGACGACGAGAGCTCGGTGCTCCTGTTGGAATCCAGAAGAAAACTCCCGACTGGTTCTGAGCACAATGTGACCAGACGGACTGTTAGGCGCGGACTAAATGGAAGCCTGCGTACTGGCAAGCAAGGCTGGTAAACCTTTCGGGTTTAAGAAATGGAAGAGGCAGGAGGAGTAGGCAATTACCGCAAAATTTTCCGGCTTATCCGCACCACTGGTCCCAGGAATCCAGGCGTCAGTGAGACAATCAGAGACAGCGCGGGTGCACTGATGCACAGTAAGGATGGCCGTATGGCTCGCTGAGCTGCACAATTTCAAGATCAGTTTAGTTGGCCAACTGCTCCTGATCCTCTTCCTGCTCAGGTTGCAGGATGAGCCATGTCTGGTTAGTTTGGTGGCTCCATCGGAGGCTGAGGTCCGAAACGCCATCTGAGCTCTCATTCATTTTCCTGCCACTGGCCCGGATTCCCTCCCACTTACACGATTTAAGCCCTTGCCTCCCTTATTCGAACATATTTGAAAAGAAGAGAACGTCCCGGCCAACTGGAGTCTATCAGTTATGGTGGTGATATACAAGAAGGGCAGTCGCACAGACTCTGCTCACGGCAGTTGTGACAAAATGACTGGCCTCGATTCTGCTTCTTCGCCTCATTGCGGAACGGGAATTTCGGATTAGGGAAGGGCCGGCTGGTTTCCGCCTAGCACGGGTTTTATAGACCATATATTCACTCTGCAGTAGGTGGTAAAGCGGCGCCACGCATACCTCAGACTGACAACAGCTGTATTCCTCGACTTAAGAGTGCGTTCGATTCAGTTACTCTGTGCATTCTATTCGAACTACCTGCTCGGAAACGTGTTCCCACGGAATATGTGAACATCTTGCATGTTCTATACTTGAACACTACAGGCCGCGTCAGGGTCCACGATGACCTGTCGAATAGCTTTCCGGCAACAAGCGGCGTTCGTCATGGTTGTCCGATTTTTTTGTTTTTGTTTCTATTTCGTCTTGGACTCCATCAAAGAGTGTTCTCGTACGGAATCCCACGATATTGACATCGAGGTTCTGTCTGGTGACGATATCGTCTTGCTTTTTGACGATGTTGCGGCGGTACAATCAACCCTGAATAGCCTCACTAGAGTGGTCCCATTAGTTGGTATGCGCTTTGTATCTTCAAAGTGCAAAGTGTTGCTGCAGGACCACCAGTCACTTGATGATCCCTTAGCCCTTAATAACAAAATCTAGAGGTAGTTGATCGAATCACTTGCATTGGCAACTATATCAGTGAAGATGGATGCAAAGATGCTATGCTCAGTTCACGCATTGCGAAGGCCAGAACTGTCTTTCCGAATCTGTGGCATCTTTGGCGACAGGAGGGAGTTTCCTTCCGTCTAAAAGGTCGTTTACGAGGCCTCAGTGAGGGCCGTACTGCTCTATGGAAGCCAGACTTGGGCCCTTCGGTCTGAAGATGTGGGACACTTTCAAGTCTTTTCCTATTGCTGTCTGCGGAGCATTGCTGGTTTCGGGTGGCGCCAGCGTGTCAGGAACGATGATGTGCTGTAGGCGAGTGCTAGGCTGGCAATCTTGCTAGTTCCTTAGAACAACAGATAGCACTGAATAAGTTGCGTTGGCTTTAGCACCTACTACGTATGCCTAGTCGCAGCTTACCGAAGAGGGACTTGTTTAGTTTGCCAGATATCGAGTGGCCAAAACTTGCGCCGCACAAAAGTTGACTTGATAGCGTGAAATGAAGTCACTGACGACCAATCTGGAGTCCAAATGACCCACCTTGCGCTTGGCTCTAGACCTGACTGGACATGGCTCGCAGTCGACACTAGTGGAGCGTCTAGCTGGATTGTCTGTTTAAAGTGTGTTTTGCGCTGAGTTATCTGCGGAGTAGTGGCTGATTATGACGCTGGATAATGAAAGCCGCAAAGAAGCTATCTCGCTGATGCCTCCTTATCTTTACACGATAGCCAGCTGTTTGTGACGGTATGTTGTTGATTCAAGGTGTAGGCGCCTTGACCATGAATGTTTGCTTAAGGCATTAAAGTTTTCCGGTAAATCCCCCTTCTCTCCCTCTTATTATTCCATAAGTCATCATGGTTGTATGGCAGCGAAGCATCAGTTCAAGTGACTGATGTACTTTGTTATCGTTGTTGTGTTCCGTAACAGACCATCGGCTACTTTTGCGTGAAAGCATTTTTTGGGTCTTGATGCACTTCTATGTTTCGTCCATCTTATGGACGCACTCAAGTTAGACGTTCATCTAGTGTCATTCTCACGTGTCAAGTAGACGTTTACGCAATTCGGACCGATTGCATGATAACACTTACGCGAAACCAAACCACAGTACAGACGATGACGGAAACGATTCCAATTATGCGACGCACGTAATGCGATACAGACGTGACCCCTCGACCGCACTCCGTACCAGAGAAAGAAAGCACTTTCGTGGGAGCGCCTTTACTGAGTCCGCAGTACGATAACAGAAATCGAGACACGCTATTCGTTATTGCACAAATGACTCACAACGCCAGGCGTGATTTTGGTTTGAAAACTGCGGGGTCACTTTGCGAGTACCATGTGGCGTACCCCTTTGATTGCACATGCGTCTAATAAGGTCCGTGCCGTGGGTTCGTATCTTTGCGTTCCTAGAGTAGTCCGTCGGCAAAACAGCTTGTCCTCCTGGCTTGATACTGTTGAACAATAGTATTTTACCTATTACTACGAGCATTCTGATAGAATAATTACCGATATGTTATTTTCCAGAACCCACAATTGCCCTGGGGTGTCAATGTCATAGCATTACTCCACAGTGAACGTCATGGTACTGTTTTAAATTGTCCGTCGCACATGTCAAATTAAGGTTCCCGTGAGTCAGCACAACTGAGTTCTTCTCATTCACATCGACTAGTATGCTAGTGGCACACTTTGAGGAGCAATTTACTTTACTCAGCGTATTGGACTTGCTTACTTGAGCACCTTAATCTTTTTGAGTCGTTAATATTGTTAGTTCCGCTATCGACGGGACACAATACCAGTTGGCGTTGTTGCAACGGAATAAGGCTCTTGGCCCAGACGACTTGCCACCGTTGTTACCGAAGGACGGTGGCGATTACCTTTGCTGCTCATTTGGACATTATTTGGCGCAAGCGGGTGACATTTTCTGATTAATACTTGTCCGTCTTCATTCCTCTGTTGACAACTCACCAAATTACTTTCTCGTAATTTCCAAATTTTTAGAATACAAATTGATTTTCTATAGGCTTTTATTGTGACAACCTTTCTCTCTTGACACAAGAGTTTCTTCAGATCAGGTCAAGGGCGAAATGTTGTCACGGTACAACAAATAGTACAACAATAGAAAACCCATTTGTACTTTGGAAGTTATGATATCCCAGTCGGTTCCAAGTTTATTCCGAGATATTGAATTCCTTTTTTGTAGTTTAGTGGTGGTCTCAATTCTTATTAACTTACTGATGCTTCGGCGGCTCACTAATCTTCGCTAGAGATGAATCAGTGTTCACTAGTGAGTGAACTACACCCGCTTTTGCTTTTCATCGGGTGCTTTAGCATTGCATGGTAGTTGTCCTTTGCCTGAAAGCGTCTGTTTGATTTTATGGGTCGCGCTTGATTATGGCAATAGCTGCATTTTAATTGCATGTCTGAAGGCTTCCTTTATCTACTGTAATCTCTGTGCCATGATCTGCTGCGCATGGTTTTACAGAAAAATTTCCTCTACATTCACCACGATGAATGGGTGAACATCAGGACCACTCTATCCATTTGCAATCGGAATGATCATGCATTATTCTTTCTGGCTTTCGCACAATTATGCTGGAGTATACCCTCATCGTCATCAGCTATTTGAACGGGTGCTTCGCTGTTTCGCCATTAGTTTTTTAACCAAAGTATGCCGACAACAGCCCCGTTTGGGTTGGTCCTAGCTACCAAGTAGGCGCAACTGAACAGCTTGCTGCGTAGCTCTGCACTTCGAGATTGCAACACACTGATACAGGAAGTGGTGAATTCCCCATTGGTCCTCACTAGTGCCGATCAACCGCTGTGTGTTCGATCGGTTTACTCTTCTGTGTCAGCGTCATTTCACCAAGGAGGCTTCCGCACGCATTTCGAAGCTTTACGTGACTCTTCAAAGCCACCACTTTATCTAGGCTACTCGAATGAGTATCAAGCACGATTTCTTGCTTTGCTTTTTCGTTGCTTTTTTTGAACTGGCACCAACAAAACCAAATCATATTCTTCGAGTGTCACTGGGTTCATTGACTGTTAGAGCTGTGTAGACCTTTACTGGGTGCTTTATTTTATTAAGGCGTACTCCAAGGTCGTTCAAACTCTCACGAATGACGTTAAGATGTTGACTCTTACTATTGTGTATTTATAGAGCTACTCCTTAATCTGCTTGATTTCCATCTCCCAGGTGCCTTCCAAAATGTACCGCCTAACCAATTTCGAGCACTTTCTGGTAACCCTAAAGCCACACAATCTCAACGCAACTCCTTATGTCCCATCGGTCAAAGCAACAACCGTATGATGACTCCAAACAGTACAGCCGCATCTCTTCCCAATCATCATCCTCCACAGCCGCAACCACAGTCTACTCTCAACTTCGGCCTCATTAACCCCGCTCTAGACCATCACGCTAGTCTGGCCAGTGGTCTCGAGTTCACTTCTCATCATCCTACGCAGAGCGCTCCTAGCATGGTCGTCAATACCCCTGCTGGTTATCCTCATCCTTAAGGTATTTCAACCTACGTACTCTAGATATGAAGTACTGCTGTGCTGTACCGTCTGGCCCTCCCCTCGCATCCCCCAACCAGCCAAAACTACCATCGCTTTTCCAACCGAAACTTCTCCCCAATTGCTCTCTGCCGATTTGCAAAGCAGACCGCTTGTTCCCTCGATTTGCCTAGGACATCAAAGTTTCTATCTCCCATCTCTGAGGTTCCTGACCCCACAACTTTTGTGCCTAGTCTGTCCCGCAACAGTTTCCGTATTCTTCCCCTGTTACATGCACACCACTCTTTTGGTGTGGTTCTCCACTCTCCTCCTCTGTGACTGTCTTTGATCCACGAAACTCAACACATCATCTACCGCCGTGATGGTAATAATCCTTGCGTACCGCAGTTTATGTACTCGCCGCCACTCCACACATATTGTGATGATGATTGTTTTGGGTCAATTATTTTCATGGTGCTTGCTTGCTTTGCTTCCATCGGTTTTTACTTTCCGTTACATCCCCTTGTACCCTGAATCATTCATTCGTTATTTCAAACTGTACAAAATCACTTTCATACGACACCTCCCACGTATCAATTCACTCGCTTAAAGCGCAATCCCATCCTGAGTGTGTTCCATCATCGTTCATCATCATTCTTTTTGTACAGGTGGCTACTATTTTGAAAGCACTACAATCACAAACATTCAGCCGAAACAAGCGCACCCCATATAGTGCATACTTCACACTCCCTCTTACTTCTTTTCGATTTGATATTTATGCCAATGAACGTACATAAAGTCGGGTGTAAGGTGTACATTTATTGCACGTCTACATTTCCGGAGTCGCGTGATAATCCCTATGATTTTTGATTGTGAGGTTCACGCGCGCACATCGTGTCATCCCTTCTCCCCGGCCGCGTTTGTGTGTACACAACTCAAACCAACTGCTGCTGACTTGCGTTGCCTTAACTTGGGTTCGTGTATTCATCTCCGACTGCATATATTTTTGGTATATTTTCTAGGGCTTCATTCTGCTTCCCAATTTCTCCTTTCAGCAAAACATCTCCGTCCTCAGACTGTTTCTTTTTGTGAATTTAACTTTCTCCCACTTCTCCAAATCGGCTAACCTAAATTCGCATCGCCCTGCATGGTCGCTGGTCAGCGAATCGTAACCACCGGTCTGGCACCAATACCAACCCCTTGGACCCTGTTCTCATAGCACGTGTTTCGTATTTTGTGCGCATATACCTGTTCGTTGTCCCCTCTAACCTCGATCCTTAATAAATTTCGCACAAAGTCCATTGCTGCTACTGCAAAACGGCAGCACTCCTGAGCGCTTTGAAATACTTGCTGATATGCACATTTTTGTTTGGTTTGGATTCAGCCGGACCCGGAGATCGCACACTACCAACTAATCCGAATGGGTGGTAACGGCAGCCAAGCGTTTTTCCAAATTTGTATAGCTGATGAACCTTGTCGGAAGACCTCAGACAAAATTGAACTCGGGCTGAAACCAATCCTTTCGTTGTGACATATACTTGACAACGAGCAAACCATTCTTTTTGTCATGAGCAGGTTTCTTTTGATTCACCACGCATCTACTTAAGATGCTCTTTTGCAGATCAATCTCGTCTCGTAAACATGTACCGATATGCGATTGTCTGGACAAGGTTGGCATCCAGTTTCGTTGCGAAGGATGATACTGTAAGTCTCGAAGCTTCTAGTCTACCCCTTCAACATCGCGATTTATCCTTCACTGTCCATAACACTTGATTCGTAACGAGCGGCCCTTGTCACTTGAGAGCTATTATATTGTCCCGACATAAATTGCCATGTGAAATTTCACTCCTGTATTTTGGCTTAAGACCTGATCTTTTGCTGAATACCTTGATCTACCAGATCATGAACTACTTAAAGTACCGTGAAGTGGTTTGACTTTGGCCTCTTGGGGTAACTTTGGGCCAACATGAAAAATAGTTTAGAACTTCGATAACACTACAACTCTGTTGTCGCTTTGTAAATAACTTATAGTGCCCATATTTAGTGTTATCCAAACGCTTATGTTATGCATTATGTTATTATTTTGGTGGTGGTGGTGTTACCCCAATAAGCTGTTATTTTGTGGTAACTTTGTTCCGTTGGCCAAGTAATCTTTGAAAGAGGCACCAAATATCACGATGGGATTATGAACTCGTCAAAGACAGAAATTAGCTTGCTGTTTGCTGGCACCACTGATAGAGAGTTACTGTCGCCATATGTAGTGTGCAAAGCCGAAAAGTTTTGGGACACTTGCACGGAGAAACCCCCACCAGCCATACGATATGCCAACTCAACGTAAGGCTTGTTTGGCTAGCTCCTGCGACAGGATGAGCCACCTTCATGAATGTCGTGGATTGCAGCTGTCCAAGTGCGGCGATCTCCGGCAAGATCCACGCAGATACTGATCAAATGATCCCCTCACTGACGAGCACCATGCACAACATGGAGTCCCAGAAGATCGACATCCGATTTCACTGCAGTGAGGCACCTTTTCAGTTGTCCACTACGGTGACGACACCAACCTTGGCAAGGCGAAAGTAAAACCACAACCATAGTGAAGTCAGTGTCTGGTCTGCGGAGCACGTGACCGAACCACTGAAGTTCGCAGCGCTGAGAACTTCGGAAGATGGTAACAGCGCTTACGGATTTCGTCACTGGTGATATGCTCATGCCACTGCGATTTCAAGATAAGCCTTAGACACCGGTGGTCGAAGACTTCCAGCTTCCGGGTGTCTTCGGATTGTAAAGGCCATGTTTCGCAACCATAGAGTAAAATGGCACGAGTGGTTGCTGAGCATACTCGGATCCTCGTTCTCAGACTAATTTCCGTCCATCACCACAATGTGTTTCTCAGAAGGCTGTTCTAGCGCTGTCAATACGATTCCTGATTTCGATGTAGTCTGACCACTGGGGAGTACACTTGAACTCGAACAGATTCGTTCAGTTGTCTATGTAAGGAGAGCCACGATGCGGGCTGAGTGGCCAATTATGATAAGTACTACATCCTGCTGATGTCGATTTCGAGGCCGGTCACGGTGTCTGATTGGTCGACCCGATCTAGCAGTGACTATAGTGATATAGCATCTGCAAGAATAGCGATCTCGTCAGCTGTTACCGGAGCACGAGCATAGCAGCTAACAAAGCTAGCTCTCTTCTGTCTGTCAGGAGCAGCCCGGTGAAGATTGGTCGTATGCCGCATGTAACCGATTGGCTAACCAATGGGAATAAGCCAACGGTATCGTTTTACCTTGAGGTGGACCAATCAGAATGACCTACATTGAAGCTCTCAAGTAAACACGCTACTTGCTCAGCCAACAAGCGAGTTTTTGCGCATCTAGTAGTTGTTATAGTCAGGAACTTTCAATCAGGTGTTTTCTCTCATGAACTATTTAGACCAAATCTTTTGGGTCTTCCGAGTGCTTTATACAAGTTCTGCCAGAGGCCTCTGCTGTTCTGCTTTGGAAGTGGCTGTATCGTGACCAGAGTGGCTGCGTCGGTTATCCGTACTGTCAGCGGAAACGTTAGCAAATTCTAAATCTGACAGCTAGAAGTCTGAGCTAACTTGAACACCACGATAGCCCTCAAGGGCATGACCCAGTCGACTGCGAAGTTGAACAGCACTGGTGAAAGTGGGCAACCCTGTCGGACTCCAGTATTGATGTCGGATTCCTTTGTTTCTTCTCCATAGACCCGAATCCGGGCCTTCATGCAACAATGTTATGATCTCATCAAGCTAACGAGTTTAACCGTCACACTATCGACACAGGATTCTCCAGAGTGCTTCACGGTCAACTGAGTCGAAGGCAGCTCGAAAATCAACCAAGCACACAAAACTGGACTGCCGGAACTTCTAACGTTGCTCGAGTACGCGATGTAGTTTGAAGATTTGGTCAGTGCAGCCTCTGTCTGGACGAAAGCCACTTTAGTTATGACGAGTTCGCAGGTTTCTCTCATTGGCAAAGTGAGAAAGCCAAGGTTTTGGCAACCACATCGATTAGGCTAATCCCGCGATAATTACTGCACACAGTTCGGTCACCTTTTTGGAAAATGTCGGTAGTACTGAGGTACTCCACGAGGAAGGAGAGATTTTAGTCTCCCATATCGAGCAGAAGAGCTCGTGCAAATGGTCAAGGAGAGCTAGTAGACAAGATTTGTAGATTTCTGCTGAAATCCCGTCCGCTCCAGGAGCTTTCTTCGGCTTCAGTTTACGAATGATTTCTGCAATTTCTGTAGGAGATTGTGGTGAGCAATCAGCGTCATATTCTGACTGGGTTAATGCTAAACTGTGTGTGATGGTGTGTAGCGGGCGGTTTAGGAGGTTGCTAAAATACTCTACCCTACTTCGGCTTGGGCAACCGGGTAGTATCTCAGTCTCTGACGAAACTATGGACTCCGATGTGTTGTGTTGTGTTTTCTTTTACGAGTTCTGTATCTTATTTCAGTCTTATGGTTTCCGATGGTTCTGTCTATTCGTAGACGCTTGTAAAAGATATATATGGAGGACATCCACCGGGATCTATCTGGCTTGCTGTACGACCATCGTTGGAGTATCACGTCAGAAGATGCTTCCTGGGATGCTGGAAGCGAGTATTGGTTATGCACAACCGGTTAAAATCAGCGAACCTTTGCAAGCGTTCTATGTTATTACAGCGCTCTTCAAGGGCGGATCTCCCGAGTATGTGACGGATCTGATCGTTCCTAGGCCTAGTTCGCGCATCCCAGTCTTCAGCAATAATGAGGACGTCGCGTTTTGGAACATGTTTCACCACTGTCTGTAGAGTATCGAAAAATTCGTCTGTCACTTTCCGCTGAGGGTATGGTTGGTGCGTAGACAGAGATTATGGTCAGATTCATCTGGTGACCTTTGAAGCGTGCAACTGCTATTCTAGCTGATACTGGCTTCCATGAGAGGAGAGCGAAGTGTGCCAGGCAGCTGAGAGCCATTGCGACCTCACGATTGCCAGCATTATCTCCTGGCCCACTACGGTAAAGTCATGGACTTTGATTTGGCGAGAGCCATAGCCCGGTATTCGAGTTTCTGATAAACATGTTATGTCGATCTGGTAGTTATATACTATGCGCGTCGTCAACGTTTGGCTGCCTATTTTTGACTGGTTTTAGCAAGTGGCATTACCTTTCTGTTGCCAAAATCTAGCCGTTGTGTCCTTTTGGGTGACAATCTCAATTCAAATTTTTCTCTTTACATTGTCAGACTGCAATGAAACAACTGTAGCGGGTTTTGCAGTGATTGAAGCATTCCTCTAAAACGTGATTTGTGCTGCACTTTTTGGTCCCTGCAAATGACCTTTCATTATTGTTTCGATGGGTGCTCGCACACCCTGGTCCGTGCCTTCTCATAATCCGGTTGTTTGTTCACTGGACGTTCACCCCCCCCCCGCCGGTTTGCTCCATATACGCTCACCTTCATCCAGTGGTCCACCACTTATTCCACTACCATGTGCTTGCCTTGGCAACTGTTCAGTTCCCCATGAGTTCCTACCCTTGTCCGGTGGCTTACATGTTCACTCCCTCATTTGTTTGTCTCCATCGTAATCTTTGTTCCACTCACTGAATCTAATATCGCCGTGTCCATTGCATTGTACTAATGTGGACGCATGATGAGCGATTATCAGGCCGCCCGTTGCCCATGGGCCACAGTCTTGTATATGTGTGCCTGACGTTCACCGATAAACTTTGCTCGCTTTGTGATTGGGCCAGTGACTTTGCATAAAGTTCCACTCCTACACGATCACTTTACTTGTCCTCTGGCGGTCTGCTTTGAGCTGTGAACTTGACGGCACCTTTTCTCCTCGCTCGTTTACTCGCATTCTTGTTAACGGTGATACATCGGGAACCGTGAACAATTGAGGTTTGCTCTAATTTACTTAACTGTATGTATTTGATTAGTACCACATATGTTGTGATCCAAACCTGTTTTGATTTCGAGATCAGCTGGTTGCGCGTCATTCAACGTCCGACCGGTGAACGTTGCAAAAAGACTGCTGCATGTTGCCTCCTAACTAACTCAACTTACCTTTACCAGCCTATAGATGTGGCATTCTTTCGACCTATAAATACCCAATGGAGGGGTATGCTGACAAATAATAAAAACTTCTGTAACAATGTGGCCCAAACAATTCAAAAGTATAGGTTCCCGGGGCTACTCAAATCACGAGATACCATGAGCGAAAACGTGCGAGTCGAAGTTCAGGAAAACTGGCATGTACTTAATGAATCCGCAGTCTGTCTCGAGGAGAATTCCAGAGGAAAATGAAGAAGATGCAGATCTCATCAGCATCTTTGTGTCAGAAGTATTCAAGCTGCAAATGAAAAAAATGCGCTTTGCTATTGTTGAAGAAAATGTACCACACAGCACATAAATAGCTCTGAACGTCCAGCCTAGGAATATGGTCTTGGGTCCAACCGAGGAGCTTGTTACCAGAACCGAGCGATGTGCTGAACCAGAAAGTGATTCGCCTACCAACGTCTATCTAAGAGAAGCCAATTACTTGTCCTCCGTCGGTGATGTCAGTGACAACCGACCGGAAATATTTTCTAGTTGTGCTGACGAGTGTGTTCCACCATCAGAGAAGGCCTGTCGAATTCGGATAAACATTTTTGAGATATTTGCTTAACTATTTTACTAATGTTATAGATGCATTATGTTAATTTTTTGTATATAAAACGGTGGTGTTACTTACCCTTTGCGTTATACAACATTGGTTCTATGTATGCGTTGTCTTCGTTGGCGAAGTGCTCTTGTTAAGGGGTAACTTTGGCCATAGTACGTATGTTAAAACAACTGGCTTAAGGAATATATACCTGCATCAGTTAACATTTTCTGCAGCTTTCTAACACCGTAGCTCATGAACAGATCACTTAATGATCTTATCAAAAGCACTGCTAAATGTACATTCCAAACCGAAAAGAGTGGACCAAAGTTACCCAGTTTTACGATGCTTTATTCCGGCCTCCAGCCCGTCACTTTCACCCACGAGGTACTGGGGGCTAGCCCAACTTGAGAGCTTGATTGGGGTCGCAGAAAACCTGTTCCATCATGTGTTCTTTACTTGTACGGAGATCCCCTTGGCCTGCTTGTTTATTTTTCTAAAATTGTGATCAAGCTATTATTCCACTGTACAGTTTCGCTGGTTGCGAATTATCGGTTTGCTTGCTAACACTAATGCACTGTGGGCATTCATCTGGTGCCACGGTTGTATCCCTTCTATGGCTGCAGCGCACGTAATCACTTGTCATCTGGCTAGTACATCATTCCGTCTATGCTGTCTGAATGGACGATGCCGGATACCATTTCATTCTGTTAGTTTCTCCCCACATAATTCCACCTTGACTATTGCTGATGGCGTGAAGCGATTGCTTGTAATGCGTCGACTCTGTCAACAGTAGCCAATTGTCCCATGTAGCCGTTGTGTTAATTGGCCCATTTCGTCGACAGGCACAAACAGGCTCGGTATTTTTGATCACTGTTGCATTTGCAATTCAGATCATGTATGATGGGAACACCGCGCGTGCAGTGAGCTTGTTTGTTGCAGAAAGTGCGAGTGAACCGTTCAGCACCGTGATCCGACGGTTAGGAAATGTGTTATGCATGCCAACCGACTGGGATGTCGGTAGGAGCATGCCAATCCACCGACTTCCACGATGTGCGTTGTTTGCGCTTCAGCGGTGCGGGTGGCCAAGCGATGACTTGCTTAAGAGGAATGAATGCCCTTACTTCGTAGTTGACCTCGGTTGGAGCCTCTCGGCTCCCTGCTTGGGGCCCGAAAGACGATGAACACGTTTCGTTGGACACACTTATTGACATGGCTTGGAACAGACCTCAATGCCGTTTATGTTGTGAGTTCCTTTGTCCTTCCCCCTCCGCTTAGCCACCCCCTCCAACCAAAATCTCAATTAATAGGCATTATGTGACTTTTTGTTGCAAAATAGCTCTCCGGAACGATGTCCATCCATTACTGGTGTCTCAGCCGGCATGCTTGTTTCACTTTTTTCTTTTGTATTGCGGCACCATAACTGAGGAATATTTTCCACCTACAGCTAGTCTGTGTAATGACGATGATGTCGGTAGGAGAAAGGGAGGGTAGATCAACCGATGACTTGGCTAAGGGGAGTGAAAACTCTCATTTCGAAGTTGGTCTCGGGTGTAGCTTTATAACTTTCGACAGAGGAGGGGTACGTCCGGGCTCTGGGGCTTGTCGATATGGCGTTTGTGTTTTTTCTCTATCACGTCCCCTCCATCTACAATCTTTTCATCAATGCATAATGTGAATGTTCATTTTTTGTTCTTTTTACTAACTTCTAAGTGAGTTGTATTGCGGCCGAAACGTTTCAATTTCAGTGCTACTGAACATTACTTTGTGAGCGTGTTTTCCTGGAAGGGCTAGTTACGTTTGATCATCGCTGCCTTCGCAGCTTAGCTCATGTCTGGTAGGAGCACGGTGTGAGTAATGGGCGTGTTCGGCGTCGCGTATTTGGTGCAAGAAGAGCGAGTGGATCACTCAGCATCATCATTACACGTTAGGTGGATGTGGAAAACACCTCAGCTATTGTGCCGCAATACAAAAGGCAAGAAAAGAAAACAAACAAACAGTGGCACGCCCGCTGAGTCCCCAATAACGGATGGACATCGTTCCGGAGAGCTAACAGCTGGCTGCCGTAAAAGAAAGTCATATTATGCCTAACAAGTGACATCGTGATTGGAGGGGAATGTTACGCAGGAGGGGGATGGACAAAGGAAATCACAACACAAACGCCGTTGGGGCCGGCTCCAAGCCATATCAGCAAGTGTGTCCAACCAAACGTGTTCACCGTCCTTAGGACCCCAGCCAGGCAGTCGGGATGCACCAACCGACGCCAACTTCGAAGTGAGGGTTTTCATTTCTCTCGACCAAGTCATCACTTGGCCTCCCCTCCTCCTCTTCCAGCCGCACCCACAACGCGCAAACAATGCACGTCATGGGAGCCGGTGTGCTGGCCTGCGTAACACGTGGTCCAGCCATCGGAGCGTGGTGCGTGATATAATCGTGCTGAGCGGTTCACTCGCTCTTCCTGCACCAAATACGCGACGTCGAACACGCTCATTGCGCACGCGGTGTTCCCACCAGACATGAGCTAAGCTGCGAAGACAGCGATGATCGAACGTGACGAGTCTCTTCATGTCTGTCGACCTGATGGGCCAGGTTTCACAGACATATAAGAGATTTGAACGGACGGCTGCGTTGTAAACTCTGCCCTTGAGGGCGAGAGTAATGTCGCGTCTGCGCCACAGGTGGCGGAGATTGGCAAAAGCACCTCGAGCTTTTGCTACACGGTTCGTAACCTCATCTTCAATCCCACGGGTGCTAATATAGCTGCTTAGGTACTTAATTTCCTGAACGACTTCTAGCAGATCACCACCAAGCGTTAGCGCAGGGTTGGGTCCCTGCCAATCTTGGAGAAGTGCTTTGCATTTCGATGGAGCAAAGCATAGCCCAAAACGATTGACAGCCAGTGCTAATCGGTTCAGTGCTGTTTAGGAGCTGTCACAGATTAGGGCAATATCGTCTGCATACTCCAAGTCAAGAAGTCGCTCACCAGGGAGTAGCTCCACACCTTCTAGGTCGTGTCCAGCGAACGTTATATCACGCACCAGGCCCCTATGGCTGGGCCGATTTTCGCGACGTGAGTTGTTTGCGCGCCGGGTGTCTTGGTGGAAGAGGAGGAGTGGAGGCCAAACGCTGACTTGGGCGAGAGGAATGAAGTCCCTCACTTCGAAGTTGTCGTCGATTGGTGTTTCTGGCTGCGGACCGAAGGATGACGAAATCCATAATGTCACCAGAAAAGTTGGCTTTTCGCAGAATATGGATTCATGTAACTCGAATCAAAGTGTCCGCAGTTTACGCCAGCTTGACATTAACAACATAATATTCGGTGTTAAAATACCGTTACTTCAACAAGTTATAGGTAAGTTTCTGCGTTTTTATTGAGCAACTAACTACTTGACCCGGCACTGTGTTAATATAACGGGACCCACAGCACATGCCTTTGACCCTACGCACTGGCAGTAGCTCCAACGGAGCATGGATACCTGAATCGGAATCGCTCGATATTCGAAGAGGCCACGTTACGCCTTGTCCCCAAAATGGATTGTCCGTCGATGTTGCGTTTTGAGTGAGGTTGGTATCCCTGACAATGCGACCAGCACGGTGGTAGATGCTGGTTCCGTCCGTAATCACACTTACCCACCGGACAATGAAACGGGAAGGCAAACCACACTTAGCATCTCCGCGCTACTAGAAATGGCTTAATAGTAAATTGGACGTGCATTTGCATCCACTCTTAAACCTAGCAGCCAGCCTTCGAATTCGTTTCCTACAAATCACTCGACGGGTACCACCACCGATGTTCCTTATCGCAGTGTTGACGTGCAGCAACGTGTTATCCGGTACTGCGTACCGGCGTACTACTGACGCACATTATTTGCCGGCCCGTAGCTTAAACGTTACAAGCTTGTGTTGTAATCTGACGGTGCGGATCCAGGTCTGCGTAGGGGCAGGACGACTGTCGCAGTATCAGTCCACGTGCGACCGGTGGTAGTTGCGCGGCAGCGAAACGTCGGTACGGCATACTTCTACTGCTGACGCATCTGCGTACTGGCGGCATACCTAAGGAACCGGACTAGAGTCGCGGATACGCGGCTTGTTCGTCTGAAAACATTCAAAAATTTTGTTAAAAAATCGTATTATGGTGGCTTTTATGCACCTGTTCCCGAACCTAGTTTTAGGGTACTGTTGGGAAAATGTACAACGGAATTGCATTCAGAAAGCGTGGGACAAAAATAGAGTAATCTCGATGCAGTCGTGGATGGTGTCTGTGCATTTGGGGGAGGGGGCGATGCCAAGTGGTTGGTCCATACTTGTGCCATCATTTCATCCGAAAAGGTGTTTCAAAAAGTTGGCGGATTCAGAGAGCACAGTGAAATACTAGCGGAGGAAGTGGTCTGATGCATCCTTCTACGAACAAGTTAGAACGGTATTATCACAGACTTTTCTCCTACACCCTCGAATGCACTTCAAGTTGACCTCAAGAATTCGATGAAGCGGCCTAAGCAGTCGAGACTGGTAGAAGTCCGTCGGTCTTGACGAATCTGGTGGCTCCCAGAGATCCAATATCCGAGATACCGCTTCAACCGTGCATACGGCTTCAGAGAAAGGCTGTCGTCGGACGAACTGACTGCGATCGAATTCCCCAGTCAGGGGGTTGGGTGGGAGACATACCTGTTTTGAGCAGAACGGGAATGGAATGAGAAATCATTATATCTAGAATTATATTAGCGAATTTGTGTGAATTCGAAGCATGAAAAGCCCGCGAACATAAAATGATACGATAAAACAGTTATTCAAGAAGCGGTAGATCGGATGGTGACCTAGTGAGAATAAGGCGCCTGCTTTGTACTTCACATGCCGCTAGTTCGAATCAGCGCAGGTGCAGCCGGCGTCGCAGTACCCCTAGCTGACACGCGTTGCAGCGAAACGTTGGTACGGGGTGCCGCCGTACCAATGGTGCTTTTTGGGAGGAATCGTCGCGGTTAGATACAACAGAAGAGCCACTACACATCCATGTCTTATCGGGACCGGTCAGTAGCACTCATCCACCCGAATAGGAACCCAGGACGATTTTATTTTCAGGAGTCAGCGACTTATGTGATTGAGCGCCAGGTAGTTGGACGGAAGTAGCTGATGATGGGGTGGGAGTTGACGTCATCTATCTGGACTTCTCCAAAGCTTTCGACCGCCTACTTTTCACAGGCTACAGAAATACGGAATCAGTGATCCTGTTATTGGTTGGAATGGTAACACTTCACTAATGGGAGCTTCAAGTGCGTGTTAGGAGGACACTCTCTAACCCGATTGAAGTGGAATGTGGTGTCCCACAAGGCTCAGTGCTGGGACCGCGCTTATTCCTGGTGTTCATCAACGACTTGGCAAGTGTTATCTCTTCGAATTTCCTGGCTTTTGCCAATGATATCAAGATATAGCGGGCAATTATTAACAATGCTGATCACGATCTACTCTAACATGACCTAGATCGCATTTATGAATGGTCAAAGATGAACCTGCTTTAGTCAAACATAGCTAAGTGCAAGGTGATCCATCTGCGTTGGGTATTTACAAGCTTGGAGACTACACCTTACAGAAGGCCTCTCAGAAGCGTAACCTGGGTGTATTGATACAGGAAGATATCGGATGCTCAAACAAGCAGAGAAGGTGTCGAGAACCGGCAACCAAAATTTTGGTCTTCTTCGCAAAGTGTTCGGTCGGTTGGACACCTCATTTTCCCCCTAAATCCTTAGCGCCTGCGTGCGACCGCACGTGGAATACGCTATCCAGGCGTGGCAGAAACAGGAGGTCGTTTCTCTCGAGACCAAGAATGGCAGAGGCCTCTTTCATCAGCTTAGACTGAAATCCCTAAGAATGTACAGCCGTCGATACTGGCGTTTGGGGGGCATCTCATAATGGTGTACCAGATTCTGAAGAACCCAAACCACATTTGCCGTCCGCTGCTGGAATTGAACCACAACACTAACCTAAGTGGTCATCTATACAGTACATCAGGCTTGAATGTTGTAGAAATTTCTTTTCCCTCCACATGTGTCAGCCTTGGAATGCCCTCCTTAATTATGTCTCTGCTCCCAAGCTGGCGATATTTAGAAAATGAGTTGGTGCGTTGTCTCATTTGCGTTTCATTTTATGACTTGTTATCCAAGGAGCTACAAAACGCAATCAAACAGTTTCTTACCAAACTCCCAACCAATGTATTTATACTGTTAATATGCGAACATCTCCGCTATTCTATGGTGAGTCCACCAAAACGCTATTCACCTTATCATGCGATTTTATTTTCGCAATAATTTCCATCCCACGGGACTTGTTAAGCATTGCGCTATATCGCAGCTAGATAACAGCCATGGCGGTCCGACGCCATCACGCATGACTCGTAAGAGTAAGATCGTTGGTGCGGATCCCGCAAATGCGCGCTACCGACGAGTCCCAAAACGGTCGTACAGCGCTTTCCTGGATGCATGTCTAGTTGCGACAAATATCAAAAAACAATATACATCCTCCTACCACCGAATCCTTGTGTTAAGGCCTGTCCGCCACTATCATGTGTGTCACATTATGGAAAATATATTCCGCGGTAAGATATGCGTCAGCACCCACACAGTGTGTTAGCGTCTACTCACTCCGAGTAACCTAATTATTTCTTCAAAGGCTCATGAAGGAAGACGCGCTTGGAACGGTAGCATCAGCAGTATCACTAATGGACAAGTCGTTTTCAGCAACTGGAATGTGTGCGTCAGAAATGTAGGCTTTTGGCAGCAAAAGGTCCCTACTTTGGCCGATTTGATCATTTTCACTGCTGAATTGGGACGAGAACCGCTTGCGAGTGTATGGTGATGGTCTGCCAAAAGTTAAAAAGCGCGTCACATTAGCGAACAAACCAATACACAATTTGAGTACACTCACTCGCTTCAAAGCAAACAATAGAGGAGATCCAGTTAGCATGTGGCGCGCCTGAGTCCAAGTGCCATCGAGCACAACGAGCCACCGAGAGCGATGCGAACTGTCATCGTAGTCAGGACGGCATTCTGAGGCTGGAACAGCTCCATGATATGGGAAAAGTACGTAAGTATCCTCTCCGGTCAGTATTGGGATAAGATCTGGACACCTGGCACAAAGAAACGGTAGTGGTGCATTCGAAATAAAAGACATATGTCAGTATTGCTTACATTTCGATCAACTGAAGTAGCAAAACGGGATTAAAGCAACCGAGCGCGATGGACTAAATTTTCGAGTCTGGCATCAACATAATCAAAAGTATGATGATGGAGAAAAAAGCATCAAAATGGTCACTGGGACTGGACAGAAGCTACAGCAGGAATTCTGAAACAAATGTAGTGTTCAATTTCGGAGTACGGTAATCGACAGCAGTTCTGATCAGTGATCCTGTGATTTTCAATTCGGTGAAGTCAAGCATGCGTGCTCCGGCGGACATCGTGACTGGAGTAATAGTGGGAATTGAATGGGACTGAAACCAACCACTTCGGATACGGCTCCAGTGATGGGAGTCTGACTTCAAAGTCAACCCAGGCCACAATTGAGATTGTGTCGCAATCCAAGACAAAGCGGTTGCTCTGAAACTAGACAATTTCCATCCGTTTGTTACACTCATTATCACAACGAGCGTTTTACTCACTCCTGTTCTTGTTGAGGATGCGACACGTATTTCGGTCAAGAAAAACATGCGGATCGTTGAGCTAATGATTTGATTCACAGACGACCATAAAGCACTCATTTGCGAAATAAAATTCACCTCGTGAGTGTGCGTATACGAAGTTCTCCTGGAGCAGGTAGTGTTCACCCGAAAGCATAACAAGTAGCAGCAATGCAGCACCTGGCCGAGCCACTTGCTGAATTCTTTCAGCACTGTCTAGATGAAAACAGCACACCGTTTCGCAGAGGATTGCAATTAACCGGATTAAGCCGTTGCTTTCTGTTCAGAAACAATTATCAGTCAACATTACACTGTCTTGGGGATAGGGGTGATAACCCTGGCTCGCTTATCGTGTTCGTCTGTTTGCTTGCATGTATGTTTAGGCGCGCCCTTCACTGGATACTATATATTGCGAGTTATATGTTAAAGGCACTGATCAGACAATAAGAAATGCGCGCATTTGCCAGTCTTCGTTTTCTTACTGCGTTTTTCAAATTACTAAAGGGAACTAAATGTTTCGAATTTCTGAAGAGAGGAATTTCGAATCATTGCAGACGAATTCCCGTAGAAACAGTCAAGATACTTCGCCGCATTGTCAACCTGTGGTGTAAGATTGCTCGCAAGCGAATGGAAATATCCTTCCTCTCCGAATGTATCCGCCAGTGTCGTTATTCCCGATCGATTGTGAAGATGTTACGTAGGAACAAATTGAAGCCCTCTGTAGCTAATCTTAGACGTGTTGCATCCGCTCATCTTGAGCATACACAAACCAGACTTGTGGTTTTATTTGAGACACACACGCCTATTGCCCATCATCGAAAACTTGTCCCTCTGTTATCCTATTGCATTCAGTTGATCTTGTAAAACAACCGTTGATCGCACCAAAAGGATTGCGTTGGCTAGTCTAGGAAAGTCAATGATGAATAAACAAGAGGAAGTGGCAGTTACTCGTGACCCCGACGAAGCCCAGCTTGCTCTTCACGCACAGGGCTTTCACAAGTGCCAGTCAGTCTGTGAAGGATGACAGAGGCAAGCAATTTGGAGGCGATGGATATCAGACTGATTCCTCTATGGTTCCCGCATTCTGATCGAAAATTGGGACTATGATGGAGCGGCTCTAGTCGGTTGGAACAGTTTCCTGCTCCCACAGCTTCACTAGTAACTCGTATAAATCCTCCACAAGGGCAGGTCCCCCGAATTTGAAGAGGACTGGGGATAGATCATCTGGTCCCGCGGCTTTATTTAACTTAAACAGTGCGATCTCACGTTCGACTTCCGAGCGAGAGGGTGGATCTAAAGGGACAGCCCAGGGAGCGGGGCGGTGGCCGGCGAGAAATCTAACAATTAAATTGCCTTTCAAACTGCTCATTCCAACGCTCCAAGCGTTTTGACAAGTTGTGCATAGGCTGCCCGTATCAGCCGGAATAACTTTCGATGGTTACCAAGGACACCGGCCACTTCCATCTCTGACGCACGAAGAGACCACCAGGATTCGCGGTCTCTCTTCAGGCTAGCACGGAGTTTTGTCCGGAGCTCTTTTCGAGTTACATTGTGTTCGCTTCCAGCCGGGATATGCCGGCGAGCGTCGATAAGTTCCAGAGACCGAGAAGAGACCCAATGTCCATGTTGGCGGTTAGACATACCACATGAGGATTTGCCCGCTGCTATTAGGGATTGGTGAACATAAGACCAGTGAGCCTCAACTGCATCCGGTGAGCACTTACTCAACTCGCATGGCAGCGTACTTTGATAGGCATTCAGAACAGCTGGTTTCGCCAGTTAGCTGGTGTCAATGCGCTCACAACGTCGTTTTGGACGCCCGCCAAAACGCATCCGCAGGTCAGCACATACAAGTGCATGGTCGGTGTCCACACCTGTGCTCCAAATCGAGCGACAGTTCTGGACGCAGCCTCTCCATCGGTGACTTAACGCAAGGTGATCGATTTGCTTCTATAGCTGGTTCGAGGCTGGTGGGCGCCAAGTCACCCTCCAGCGGGTGCTGTTTCGGAAATTAGTGCTCGCAAGAAATAAGCGAGCATCTTCACACAAATGAAGTAACCGCTCACCGTTATCATTACGGGAGCCTACACCATATCGGCCGCCCAGATGCAGCTCATCTGTGGATAATTTTCCAACTTGAGCGTTCAGATCCCCAGCCAGCACTACAGTGTCCGATCCTCTTCTGTGGCGAAGGAGCTCGTTCAGTTGACGATAGAAGTCGTCTTTTACCGAGTCATCGCTACAGTTTGTCGGTGCATAGGCAGCGATGACGAATAGACACCTGTTTGTCGGATTTGAAGCTTAGTGCCTTACAATTGGGAGCATTATCATTTGGCATAGCCTACAAAGTTCCTCCTAGACGGTTAAATGAGCTTCTTAGTGAATCGCAGTTTAAAAACTTCTTTGATCAGTGAAAGATCTACAACCAGCCAGTGCTGATAAGCTCATATGGTTTAAAAACAAGCGGACAGATATTGCTTATGAGGTTAAACATGTGCCAGTAAAAGAAAAGTGTGCGCTTACAAAACATTTACAGGCGTTATGCGAACTACGTGCCCAGGATGTGATTGTAACAAAACCAGATAAAGGTTCTGGTGTAATACACATGAATAAGGATGAATAAATAAAGATGGCAGTTATACTCGTAGTAAATTCAAGCGACTTGAGAGGACAGAGGATGTGACTGTGGTAGAGTCTCGCATAACTCGTCACTTTATCTGCATTGTGTGATTGACAGTGATACTTGTGACAAATTGAAGCCGACTGGTTCCACTACTCTTCAGCTATACGGGATACCGAAAGTACATAAGGGTGGGGTGCCACTCAGACCGATTCTGTCGATGGTAAACGCGCTTCAACATAAAATGGTTCGCTGGCCGGTGAAATTGGTTTCTCCGCTGCGAGAGTGGGCCAATCTAGACAATCTAAAGATTCTTTCGAACTTATCGACGACCTCGACATACTTATTGTATCCGACAAGGTCATGTGCTCGTAAGATGTGGAATCGCTGTTTACCAATATTCCCCTGCACCAAACTGTTGATTACATTTGTGAACTAGCAGCAAGTTCGCGGTGTCCTCTATCGATGCCAGTTGCACTACTAAGAGACTCGTTGTTGTGATGTACGAAGAATGTCAACTTTCACTTAAGAAACACATCGTACTGTCAAATTGATGGAGTAGCGATGGGCAGTCCATTGGGCCCGGTACTTGCCGATTTCTTTATGTTAATGGTAGAACGAGGTATGTCTGGAGAAATCTCTCAACTGCCATACTACAAACGCTACGTAGATGATATTTTGGCAATTTATTCATCGGAGCATCAGATGGAGCAGTCGGTCACGCAACTAAATTCTGCGCATGCCAACTTGCGGGTCTCCTGTGAGGTAGGGAAGCAAAATTGCCTCCCGTACTTGGATATCCTTATCAGCCGCAGAGAAAAGGGGCAGATTAAGTGGTCTGTCTACAGGAAATCAACATGGTCCGGGTAGTATCTGCATTTCACTAGCTTCACACCAATGCGATACAAGCGGACGCTCGTGAGAACCCTGATTAGCCGTGCCAGACGAATCTGCTCCGCTTATTGCCTGGCTGACGAACTGCAGTTTAGTACCAACACGCTCATCGAAAACGGTTACCTCCGAAGGTTCATCGAGAAACATAGTCAAGTGCGACCAAGGGACCTAGTGCACACGGTACCCAAGAAGCCTGTAGTCATTGAACTGCCATTCAAAGGTGACATTTCCTCATTGAGGACCACAAGGCGTCTGATCTGTGCCATGCAGACAAGGTGCCATGCCGCCAAGGTCGTTGTCATTAACAAAACCGAAAAAAGTGCCACTTCCTTCTGTAAAAGAGGCTCAGCCTACCGAGGCCAAATCGCATTGCGTTTACAAATTCACATGTGACTGCAGTGCCACTTACATAGGCAGGACCGATAGAATATTAAGTTCCCGAATGAGGGAACATGTATCTAAGTGGGTTCAACGTTCGACCGTGCAGGAAAGTGGCTAGATTCAAGCTGTTTGTCTGCGTAAACCACCAGCCTCTTCGATCGGTCGACACTTATTGATCACAAGCTATCGAGTCGAGGTCAATTCGGCGTTCACAATACTATTACAGCACACCAATCCTCGCATCCTCCGTTCCGCAGAGAGGATTGCAACTAACCGGATTAAGCCGCTGCTTTGTGTTCAGAAATAATTATCGGCCAGCATTAGACTGCCTTGGGGATAGGGGTGATAACCCTGTCTCACTTATCGTGTGTCCATCTGTTTATTTGCTTGCATGTATGTTTGGTCGCGCCCTTCACTGAATAAATGTTATTGCGAGTTATTGTTAAAGGCACTGATAAGACAATAAGAAATGCGTGCATTTGCCAGTCTTCTTCTTCTTACTGCGCCTTTCAGAAAACATTGTCCCCTCAAAGTGGAAATGGAGTATTATCACCCCTATTCACAGGGGAGGAAGTGGATTTGAGCCCGCCAATTACCGGTGACACTTCTCCCTGTGCTCTCCAAGACCTTGAAAAATGTTATAGACGTCCTGGATGGTTCCGACTGTCCTGGTCGGAACGGACGAACTTTTTCACTCGTTGATTCCCCGCGCAGAGTAACCTAAACGATTCGAATTGGAACGGCTTGTGGACTCAGCTCGCAGACGTGAACTCGTAACGGATAAGGCAGACGAAACGCGTTAACGCTGCACAAGTATACCGAGACCCGCAGAAAGGAGACTGGTCAATAGTAAGAGTGCGTTTGCTGACTCAACCAAGGCGACCGTGCTTCCTATGTCTTCATATTTATAGTTAACCAAACCAGTAGTATAAGGGAAGGCGTATGTTTGTTGGCACATGAGTTGCCATGTAGTGGTCCTATCTCCGGGCAGAGATGAACAGTGAACAATGATTTATCACGGGATAAAAGCAAGTACTTGACTCTTCCCGTAGGATGGTCGCGGTGAATATGATGATGGGGTGGGTTCGATCCTGTTGAACGTTGGGTTCATCACAGTTGCTGAGTGTGCTCGGTAGTTAAGACAGTGGCATAAACACGGCTCAGGAAGCAGACTATTGGCTTGCAGAGAGTCCAGCAGATACGATAGTGAGACTGGAGCAAGTTCAGTGGGAACTGTGCGGAATACGTTGGCCGGGTTTTCACTGAAGACAACTCCGTTGTGATTTGCGCAGATGAATGGACCCTTGGCGGCAATTTCCATGGAGAAAGCTCCGCTTTGAACTGCTTAGTTTAGGTCTCTGCATAGCGACCGTGTTGTTCAAGTCCGATAGTGTATGGCGCCGGTGAACTCCGGATGAGTTTGGCAGGGCTGTGATCATCGGCTACCTGGAAAGCTACGGCATCATCGCGCCGGAGTAACACAGGCTTCACCAACATGCACCACGAATCTGCTGATTGTATATGGCCATTGGACAGGAACCGATGTCATGGGATTTTCAAGAGTGCTCGATCACTGGACCATCATATACTGCTCCACAAACTTCAGCACTAGCATCGTCGGAGATCCAGTATTGGAATGGATCGGTAACTTTCCTCACAAAGAGCGATTGGAAGTTATGGTCTGAACATCTTTGTCCCACACAATTCGAGTGGAGCGCGGCGTACCGCTGGGATTAGTTACTTGAGTCTCGCCTGTTCTTAGTCTTCATTAAAAATCTAACGAAAGATATCACCTCAAATGTTCTACTATTCACCGATGAGGTTATGATTCAGGGTGTGATAAAATGGGATGAACGAGCACCAGGTTCTCCAGCGCCATCCGGAATTCATCGGTGAGGAGCATGCTGCCATTCTCATTGTGGACAAGTGTCGCGTTTCCCATATCCGCCATCGAAACGCTTGAGGCGTACCACCACCAGGAACGTGACATCGGTGTGCCAGTGCAGGACGACCACGGTTGTTTCAGATAGCGCATGCTGGACTCATGAGTATGATCAATGCTTACGTGCGTCCCCACGTCGAATACGTTATCCAGGCTTGGCAACTATGGCTGAAATCTGAACTCGCATCGTTAGAGACCCCGCAACGTGAAACGAACGCCACCTTGAGTCGTACCAGGTGTGGCTGAAGAGACGAAGTTTTCAGTGGACGTGTTATAATTGAGGGAACGCCGCCTCTTGAGGTAATTGCGTGACAAGATTGTCGCTCGCACGGTTGGAGCACGCCTACGATGACGCTAGCTTAGCCGGTGAGACGGAAAATTGAACGAGCGTGGGAACGATCTTAGCCGCACTTGTTCGTATAGACGCTGAGGCCTCGAAAACGGACGCACACGAGAGGGAGTACGATAGACGCGCGCTAATGACTTAGACGCGAAGGCTGGCCAGCTAACGATTCACACGCAATCACGCGACCCGACCGACTCCCAACTGAGGCGAAGAGAAAGAAAAGACAAGTGGTCCTCTGTAGGCTCTTTTACGACCGACAAAGGGCGATCACAGCCGATGCTATGGGTTATTAAGTTAGGGAAAAAGTCACCACGCAGAGGTGGTAGTTTGCAAATGACCATTGTCAAAAGGTTCGCAGTTGGGACGCGCCTCGGAGTGGCTGAACACTGCTGCGTTGTGGGGAGAAATTGGACTCCGCTTCCCACAGCCATTATGCCGGAGTTACTGGCGCGTTTTTTGCGGGGATTTTTGACGGGCCCGCAACACCTCCCTTTGAAGAGAGAGCGTACCGCTTCTGGCGAGGATTGACCTGGAGGGATTTCGGTGACCTCCGGATTCTTTCTGTTCGTCGGCAAGGTGGGTTCTCGAGATGCGGCGGCGACTGAGCGGCTTCGACCGTGATCTGTCGTTGTGTGGCCAATCCGAAAGTATCCAACAGGATGTGCAGCGGCAGGCGCACGGGATAGCTGGCTGGCATGGAGGTTTCTTCGTGGCGCGGACGAAGTTGATTGCGATGGCGAACCCAGGTGTCATCACCTACGGAGACATCATGAAGCATGTCACCTCGCCTGGCTGTCACTGTTGCTTTGATCCAGCGAGGATGACCTGCTCGGTAATCACGAGCGTAGACTGGGGCTCCGACGGCGAATTCTTTGTGTTTGGTGCCGGCACCAGAGTGAGTAGGTGGCTTCTCTGTCGGAATGAGCGCATCGTTTGTGGTGCGTAGCTTGCGGCCCATCAATGCTTCAGCTGGTGACTGGCATCCTGGCGTAGCTGGATTCGGTGTGGACCGGTACGAGAGCAGGAAGGCTTGAAGACACTCATCCACGGTCCCCTCCCCGCGAGATTTCAAAAGCGCCCTCTTGAATGTGTCGACAAATCGCTCCGCTTGACCATTGGATTGGGGATGGTAAGGCGGTGAGCGGAGGTGTTCGATGCAGTGTCGGCGGCAAAAGTCTTCGAAGATGGAAGACGTGAACTGGGTACCATTGTCGGACACCAAGACCTCCGGAAGGCCATGTTGACTGAAGATACGTTGGAGACAACCCAGAGTGGCGGATGCGGTTGGTGGGTTGACGGCGACCACTTCTGGCCATTTGGAATAGGCATCGACCACGACCAGATAGGAAATGCCATCGATGGGACCAGCGTAATCGATGTGCACTCGAGACCACGGTTTTGCTGGCGGATGCCAAGGAACTGGTGATTGGTGTGGTGGCATCTTTGAGGCTTGTTGGCAATCCTGGGACACGAGGGCGGATTGATTGGCTTTGTCGTCGGTTCGGTCGTTTGGTACTGTCGTGGAATGTACCACGTTGCAGATGGCCCGAAGAGGAAGATCGGCCAAGCCAAGGGTTTCGAGCCAGTCGAGACCAAGTACGTTGAGCTTCGCCTTTGTAATGTAGCAGATCGCGTTGAACGTGGTGCCCCGGAAGGAGACGGAGCAGTGCAGCTGCCCAGTTAGCTGCAGGCGACCACCACAGGCGCTGGTGGCAAATTGGGAGGTTGGCTCGTACGGTGGCTTGCCAAGGGATCGCCAGAGATCCTCGGAGATGATCGTGATGTCCGACGCAGTGTCCAACTGCAATCGGACCGACTGACCATTGATCAAGACGTCGACGAACTTTCTCCGATCCGCAGCGTTGATTTGGAACGTGGCCAGCAGGCTCAGGGAGCTGCCAACCGGACCAGGTTTGGGTCGGGACCTCTTCTTTGGATCGCGGGTGGGGGCCAGCCCAGTTTTGGCCCCCTTGGGAGATGGAGGATGGCAGTAACCATCCCGGTGCCCCACCCTGCCACAACGATGCTGGCGGAACTTGCAGTCGCGGTGGAAATGCCAGGCACCACAGAATCGGCACGCGTAGGGTGGGGACTTCGCTCGGTCGGATTGGGTGGGGCGCGCGGACGATTGCGTCCTCGGTGCTGTGACTGCCTGGACCATACCAGGTGCGGCGGCGTTCTGGATCATTGCAGAATCGTGCTTCAGATTGAGCAGCGTTTGACATTCCTCGGCCAGGTTCTGGAGTGTGACTGAGCTATCCTGTTGTAGCTTGGACAGGAGGCGCGTCCGGATATCGGCATCGTGTGGAGATTGGAGGCCAAAGACAAAGATCAGGCATTTGAATTGGTCCTCGGTGAGCGAGCCAAGTTGAAAACGTTGGCATTCACGGTTCACCACGCCCGCGTACGTGATGAAGTCGTCGGCATCCTGTTTGACCAGCTGCAGACATTGGTAACGAGCATTGAACAGAGAGGACTGCTCGCCAAAAATCTGTGACAACGTTCGGACCGTGTCGTCAAAGGTAACGTCCCGTGGGTTCCTCGGCAAGATGAAATTGGTGTAACGCTGGTGTTCGAGGGTACCAAGTTTGCGCAGAAGCAGGCGGACCTTCCACGCGTCGTGTTGGCGAGCCAAGTCAACGGTGAACAGGTCCTCGTACCGCTTGTACCAGGATTCGAACGTTACCCCGGCCTTGGCGTCGTACAGAAATTCGCTGATGCCGCTAACCACCTGGTCCACTGACTGAGAATTGGCGCTCGGACCTGCATGAAGGGAAGAACTGGAAAGCTTTTCGGTTAGCACGGACATCAATTTAAGCTGTTGCTGCAGCATCAGTTTTAAATCTGCGTATTCGTCAGTCATGGTTCGTCAACTCTGTCGCCACTGTCATAATTGCGTCGCCACTGTTATAATTGCGTGACAAGATTGTCGCTCGCACGGTTGGAGCACGCCTACGATGACGCTAGCTTAGCCGGTGAGACGGAAAATTGAACGAGCGTGGGAACGATCTTAGCCGCACTTGTTCGTATAGACGCTGAGGCCTCGAAAACGGACGCACACGAGAGGGGGTACGATAGACGCGCGCTAATGACTTAGACGCGAAGGCTGGCCAGCTAAGGATTCACACACAATCACGCGACCCGACCGACTCCCAACTGAGGCGAAGAGAAAGAAAAGACAAGTGGTCCTCTGTAGGCTCTTTTACGACCGACAAAGGGCGATCACAGCCAGTGCTATGGGTTATTAAGTAAGGGAAAATTTCTACCATGACGAGGTGGTAGTTTGTAAAAGGCCATTGTCAAAAGGTTCGCAGTTGGGACGCGCCTCGGAGTGGCTGAACACTGCTGCGTTGTGGGGAGAAATTGGACTCCGCTTCCCACAGCCATTATGCCGGAGTTACTGGCGCGTTTTTTGCGGGGATTTTTGACGGGCCCGCAACAGGACGCCTCGTAGTATTAGTATAACATTATTATGCAGCTGGAAACATTCAAATATTGCGCGGATAGATGTCAGTGAATTCAGAAAAGTAAGGTGCATTAGGATGACGTACTGCTGTTCGTTGAATTTCCTCCCTCGAACAAGACGACAGCGGTTTTCAGCAAGCGCTAGTTCGAGAATACGAGCGGTGCGTATTTTACGACTTTCCTAAATGAAAAATGATGGTGGTGATCTATCAGTATACACACTCACTACCACAAACAGCATAGCATGTAAGCAAACGGACGTGATACGAGGTTCAATTCATTTCAAGAAACTGTTTTATGCAACAGGAAGAGTGAAATTTCAGCTGTAAGGTTGTTTAGAAGTCCGTTCCAAAATCAGCAGTATATGTCACGGACTCCATTATTCATCAACATAAAAATGCGAACAGAGTGAAAGTTAACACGAAAACAGGTGAGAAATTCAAAGTGTGTGGAGAAACAAGAGCTCCAGATCGGGCGGTGGAGTCCTCGATAGCATCCTGAGAACTCATGGGTAACGTGAATAGTAAGCAATAATAGCCACCCGGAAAATCCTTGACTCCAGATACCCTTGCGCAGTGGTTCGTCGCAGCCAGACGAACACCACACGTCTGGGAGGGCGCTAGACGGCCGTTCCATTCCATTAACACACGTCGGGAGCGTGCATCTGCCGAATCTACCTTGTTTCGAACTCACGGATTTTCTGTTGCTAGTCAGCGACTTAAGATGCACTAAGCCGTGGATGTGGATGGCGATACAGCGCAGTTAATTCTCCAGTGCTCTACATGCCAAGAACATGCGCGGAGAACAGAGGGCTACGACTACGTTACCGGCTTGTAAGATTACCTTGACCACGGCAGTAGGTGTATCCCAGAGAATGATGGAACACAAGCGCATGGAAGTGGAGAGATGTAACTTGCGAAATGGAAGTCAGTGGAATATGCATGCGAACCCCGTTTGTTGTGTTTGTGACATTCCCCATGACGAGTAGATAAGCCTCGCGAACCTGAGACCTAAGGAAACAGACACCCTGGTACCGCGAGCTGGACCTACTCTACACTTAACCACCATTGCATGACTGCCTTCGGTACACCCAACTGGTCGGATAGATCCACAGGGTTGTCAACTGACGACATGATGAGAAGGGGTGGGGAGAGTGGTGGAACGACTTGGTAGAGTCGGATGGAGGTTTTCAGACACGTCACATCGGTAGTGAGAAGTGCAGTCTGACATAATGCAATCGAGAAATTAATGGCATACTCGGATATTGTATGTTATTTCCAAGTAGCGGGTACCACGACATTCTGGTTCATCTTTGGGCTTCTTTTCCTCGAACAGCAATGAAGCGAGTCGAGACGGATTACAATTGGTCAAGTGTGACTAGCTGAATTGAAACTAACTTACTGAAAGGGAATCCACGCTGAGACAAGCAGAGACAAGAGCTCGGTAGATTGGTCGCCATGGAGTCCGTGAAATCATGTGTGGTGCCGGAACCATCACCGGCACCAGAGTGAGAAAGAATGTATGTGCTTGGAAATATGAGTTTCATGAAGCTGCACATTAATTTCAAATCAGAGCAACAGGATGATGGAATAGGTTAGTGCAAGGCAAATTCACTTGCCTAGAGATAAAATAATGATGTTTGAAATTAAATCACCTCGTAAGGATGTTGCAAAATCAAGATGTTTGTGTGGATAGGCAAACGAGATTCCGGTAGGCAAGAACACCAACAGGCGACCACGGGTCTCCTACAAAGGAATGGAGAAAGCAATAGGTTAATACATTTTCAATCTATTATTATTATTATTATTATTATTATTCAACACCAGACCAATATACAATTGGCAGTGCCACAACACATAGTTAACAACAGCAACAACAAAAAGGGGAAACAGGTAGACAGTGGAAATGTTTGGAAGGTTTACAAGGTTAATGTGTTGTGCGGGCAGACTTCTTCCCAGTTGCCCAGGCCGAGGAAGGAGGTTGACTTAAGGGACCGCACCCTGAGCCTTTGGTCATAAAGACCTGACTCGCAAGGCAGCTGGACGATTAACGGAGACCGTTGACATCCGGGTAGCTCATTCGCCTTCTTTGTGCTCAGTAGCAGTCCACAGAGAAGCCGGTGGCCAACAAGGTTGTTCATCCGCCCTCCGTTAGGTACTCACTTCTGGTTACAGAAGTGAGTGGCTCAGTGACCCTATAGGTTAACGCTGAACAATAAGATAGGAGAGGGCCAGTGTATTGTTGCTCGGTCAATGTGTCTCCATAACTAGCGCATGAGGCAAGAAGAGGGTGATAATGGGAGATAGCCAACTACCACGAGTCAAAAAAGAATGATGGTTATCGAGAAACGCCAAGCGAGCCTTACCGGCTGTTACCGTGGTATAAGATAAAAATGTAGCCATCACTATTGATACTTCTACGGATTGCTCGTGGGTGCCAGATGGGATTATCAGTCTCATGTAAAAACAGGGATGACATGCACAAATCAGTAGTTTCGTTTCCGAATGGTACTCAATACAAAATAGCAGGTCGTGGCCCCGGGCTTGTGGATATCCGGTTGCATTAAAATATGACCGGTACTCAATAAACACCAGCCAACCTATTGGAATGTCGTATCTGCAGCAAAATGCGAATAATTTCGACAGGAAAAGAGTGTAGTTAACTGTGGCCAGCTGATTGATAGGGGTTATGAGAAGACCCTAAGTGTGGCGAGCGACGAATGTATGAAAACAGTCGGTTGATGTGTTTGCTGCATGAAGTTTAGCACAACAACTCATGTGGGCCGAGTGAGCGGGCACAACCGAGCTGATTCATTCAGTTCGTCACAAGTAGATTACAAATCAGATAGGTCAACGACCAATCCGGAGAAGGCATCAGCAGTAGGCCGACACGCAGTACCGACTATTCGCTGCCGCGCAACAACCACCAGTCACGCGTGGGCGAAGGACACCGCGAGGATTGCCCGGTCTCCTACACAAGCTTGTGCTCCTTAAGGCCACGGGCCGGTTCGTCCTTTTGGGGCCATTTCTTCCATCATCTTGGGACCTGTCAGTGGTGCGCATTCACTCAGTCCATTGTGCAGGGAACCGAATCCAAGACCGCTAGAGCCTTGCACCACTTTTCAGCAGCTTATGCAACTGAGTCATGGAGACTAACATAGATTGAAAACCCAATCTCCACTGTCATGCAGGTTACTGTCTGTTCAGCGAATTGTGGATGATCATTACGTGTCAGGGCGTCTTTATCAGTATCCGTGAATCCACACATTTTGGGGAGCGGTGAGACTTACAGTTCCTTTGACTTTTATGGCGAATAGAGATGAAGATCGTAACAACAGTAGTGGCAACCAGACAGCAACTACGGTCAAAGATATATAAGTCGTTGAACTATTACGATGAGCGAGGAACCGGTCCAGCTGATTCATCAAACATCATGTCAACAAGTATCACCTTGGAATCGTGGAAATGATCGTCGAGCCCTGTCAACATTGATCTCTTCGGTGGTTCAATACTTGCGCGGTCACGATACAGACACTTTGAAACCATAGTACAAAGTATTCTGCCGACTATGCAATGGCACCAACGATGTACAGGAGAGCGTTTCTACTTATCATTGCGCCAATTTTAATTTAAATATATAGTCATAATCATTTCGTTCGGTAGCCGTGTGCGTGATCTCGGAGATTCTTCTCACAACAAAATTCGATTCTGTGAGGAAACCACCATCGAAAACATGGTATCCGAGGCGATTAGTGGTTAGTGACATCAGGAATCCATTGCAAAGAAGGGATCTACACAAGCAGAAAATCAGGCTAATTTCTCCCTAAGATCGACGCAATTGTGTCAACTCTGGCTCATTTACTGGACAACGCTGACGGCAATTCTGCCGTCCGGGATTTATGACCTACCAGTGGCATACAACCGTGATGTTCACGTTTGTACCGTAGTGGATGGTATAAGCTTCCCGACGAACGGACTCACAAGACATGTGGTTGACCACTTGCAACTCCTAACTAGTAGGACAAACACATCCGTAGGGAACTGTGCTGCGTTTGCATGAATTCTGGTAGCACTCACTGATCACCTGCATTTATTGACTCACCTGTGAAAACTATGCATACCTGTACATAGACCAAACCGCAGAGTCGCACACGCAATGTTCAAGACAACGGCAACAGATATCACGCCCACAGAGGATGTATAGTTGCAACAATTTATGAATAGACATGGAGCCATCGACAACTATGGAAATCAAAGGAAGGTACCGGTGTCGCAAGAAGAAAATCAAACACAACGCAGAAAGTCCATGGTTTTGTCAGACAGCGCCATACTGCCCGGTTGCCCAAGCCAAAGGGAGCGTTTTGACCAAGGGGACACCAGCTCGAGCCTTTGGCTGAATAGCTTGCCCGTATGGCTGTGGAGTGACTTAAGGAAATCATGCCTGACTGATTGCTCGGTTCATAATCGGTTGCTAAACAGAGACCCAATGCATCCCACAGTTTCAGCATCACGTTACTGGAATACAATGCTTCACCAAAGTGAAGCAACGGACAGTGACTTTATTTGATGGCATCACATCCACCACGTCGCAGTGTTGTTAGACGGACATATGTGGCTGTTTATAGGATCCGCGGCTTTGGCAACCGGGTAGTAGTATTGTGCCTACTGATGAAACCAATGACTTCTCTGTGTTGTGTTCGGTTTTCTTCTTACGACAACTGCACCTTCTCTAGATTTCCAGGGTTTTTGATAGTGCCATAGCTGCTCTTAGACCGTCGCTTTATTACCGACATTGCGAGACATGCCTAAAAAGGTTTGATCTTGGTAATACAAACGCGTATGATCAATGATTGAACACGAATGTTACAATGTATCCAGTACATAATAGAATTATGTTGTAAATGTAAATACTTGGGTGAACAATCATTTCAAGTGAATGTGTTGCTGTCGTGCTGAAGTTATGGTTGTGTTCGGCGAATTCGCCAACATAGGAAGGGATCAAATAATATCTTCGAAATGACTGACTTTCTTGAATAGGATGAGATCCTCCAGAAAAGAAGGAAGACAGAGACTTTATTTAATGACGAGTCATATCCACTACATCACAGTGTTGTTAAACAGACATTTGCGGCTTTTTATAGGGAGAACGCTTGTCAGGAGAAAACCCATCACGTCCTGGAACACTGCTGCCGAACCATTTGCTGGAACAGGATTAACCCGGACCACCCAACTGACACCAGGTTGAGGCTATTTGGCAAGCCCACTAAGGAAGAAGCCAAGCCCAACTCAGTAGATTAACGAGACAGAAGATATGAAGTCATTTCGGAAGATGACAATGTCGCGAGAATGAGGCTAGTGAAAAGTGAACCACGTGAGCATGGTAAAATAGAGCTTGCACTAGCGTATAGCAACCGTGCTGAATCGCTTTGGTCTAATCACTATCACTGGATGGAGGCGGTTTTGCGATTGACGATCAATTCCGTACTTACAAAGATGACACCTGTTGACACGATGTTTGATGAGGCAGCTGGAACGATTAATTGCTCACTGTAATAGTTCAGACGACTGATATATGTGTAGTCGTAATTGCTCTCTGATTGCCACTTCCGTTGTTGCGATCCTCATCTCTGTTCATCATAAAAATCACACCAATTGTAAGTTTCACCATGCAGGATAGATGTACCGCAGTACTACATGGTTCCGCAGACTATTCTATTTTAATGAGAGTTGAACTTGCAGACAAGAGATGCCCAGAAGTGAGACAAAGAGGCGACTATGGCCGGTGGCTGAGATGTCCCCTCGTAATTTTATAGTTATCTCACTGATGGGATCAGACAATTACTCTAAGGGTGGAATTGAAAGGTAAAACAGAACAGCCGGATGAGACCGTTGGTAACAAACTTTGATCGATGATTCAGATAAAAGCAATGTTTTAGTAACATGGGTAATTTGGGACGGTAGAATGAAACTGAGCGCGGAAAAGAAGAAGTCACGCTTGAAGAATCCATTGTTTGCAGCACATTTGACCGAACCACTGTAATAATAATAATAATAATAATGTGTCAGCTGTACGCCGTAACGGCGCTTCACTGCCGCGCGACCATCACCAGTCGCACGTGGGCTGAGCATACCGCGAGGACGCCCAGCACTATGCGGATTCGAACCGGTGGTTGCAAAGCAAACGTGTAGACCACTCGGTCACCGGTCGACTCACTGTAATAAATCAACGAAACTCGCTGTCTTTTTTGACGACGGAAAATGACCGAAGCCCAACGAACGTGGTTCATGTCTGTGGGAGGTCAAAATTCGGAGTCGGACACTTTTTCATCTCTAAACGAAAAGACAAAATCCGAAGCTGAACGGAAGTACGTCGTATATTCATATAGGTGAGTAGCGGCAGTTATGGTAATCATGGAGGGGGACAAAGATAGACCGATCGGAAGCAGCGGCTGAGCACATATCCTAAGCGAAAGTAGGAAACGAGTAGACAGTTGACTTAAGGGTGCCTGTTGCCAAATCCACGCACGTAGTGTGCGGTAGCGCATTCGCTGACCGAAATGAAGAGTTCACGGTAATTTCCAAGCCATCAAATAACCACGCATTTGCATACCGAAGAAACGTTTTTGAACACATTCGTGATTTCTTCACAAAGCCGAAGTCTGCTATGAGAAGAATTTCCGAGGTCACGCACACGACTACCGAATAAAACGATTATGACTGTATTTTTAAATTAGAATTCGTGCAAC